GCAGCACTCGGCAGGCGGGGGGGGGGAGAAACCCTCTGGCTGGAGGCACGTTTTTGGGAGCTGACCGGCTGTGGGACGTGGTTTGCATCCACAGCTCTCCTTGCTTTGGCCCTACGTTGTGGCACCTTCATTGTTTAGGGCTGTGAGTTTGTGTGGAACCAGTGGGGTGACCCACGGGGACAAGCCAAGCCGTCACCCTGTTGCTAATGCCGGTTCGCCAGGCCTCGAGGAGAAGCTCGAGGAAGGCGAAGCACCTCAATAAAACCTTTTCCTAGCTCTGTCGCAACACCGTGTTAGGCTGGTGCCAGCGTGGTGGTTCCCATCCATGAGCAGAGCTGCTGAAAGGGCAAAATGACACCAGAAGGGAGGAAGAAAACTCTACGTTCTCAGCGCTGCGGTGATCCCATTGACTCTGAGCCTGCGTGCCCTGTTGAATGAGGACCCGTGTTTAGAGCAGCCATTCAGCGCTGCTTTATGCCATCCCACGCGAGCCGGCGGGTCTCACGCTGCTGCACGCTTGACAGGCGGAATTGTGAAATTTAAATCTATAGGAAAATATTACTGAGGTTAAAGGAACGAGCTGAGCAGCTCTCGCCGTCGTCTTTCCTTCCTGTGCCCTTGCTCTCGCCGAGGGTGGCTGCGGTGTTTGCCGATGCGTTCCTCTGGCTCCCTTAGCAACCTGCCGGCACGCGGAGGGTGGCCGGGGCATTGCGATATCTCCTCCCGGATCCGCGGTGAGGAGGTGGTGTGGGAACCAGACGAGTGGTACCCGAGCTGGCAGGCTATTTCGAGATCACCCCACCCCAGGCACGGCGCTCACGTCTCGCTAAGGGGCTGGAGCGAGCCGTGACCGGGGTGTGCAGTCAGATGCTCCCCTTTGACTCATCGACCCCGATACGGTCCGAGATAGCTCAAAACTTGTCCCGTCTGTCTTTTTAATTGCAGGTGGCTCCATGTCCCAGCTCCAGAGCTCCTGGGAAATGCACCAGCAGAGCGCGGCGTATCTTCCAAACACAGGTAAACGATAACCCTCTGCGCAGAGGGCGTCCTCCTTGGGGTTGTGTCTGTCCTTTCCTGGGAGCTTTCTCCAAGCAGCGTAGACGACTAGGACTCCTCTCTAAAGGTGCTAGGACCGTTGGCTGTGCGAAGTTTCAGGTGAGGCCCAGGTGAAACCAAGACGGGGGGGGTAAACTCCAAGCTCCTGGGGTTGCTTTGGGAGCTAGCCGTCCCCAGGTACATCCACTCGCCAGCCGTAGGGCCTTTGAGCCTCGCGTGCAAGCCCTGCCGAGCTGCTCTCCCCTGGCAGGGGATCGAGAGGAGCCCAAGCTTTATTCAGGTCAAGCAATAGCAGTCTGGTAGACTTACAGCGAGACTTCAATTGTAGGGTTGTCCTCTTGCTTTTTTCTGAACTCGCTTCTGCTCCAGACTCGCCGTCTGGAGTTGCTGAGTGACTGATAAAGAGTATTTTACACGGGACAATTCCAGCACCAGCTAAAAGCCTTTTGAAAGCAGACTAGACGCAGCTGGGCAGCAGCTATCTGCAGTGCCTCTTGAGAAAACGTTTAGCCATGCCGAAAACAAACAAACAAAAAAAAGCTTGTTTGAAGCTCTCGAATCGCCTTAAAATTCCTCATCCTGAGATGCGCAGAGGGGGGTAACTCTGCCCTGCGAACGGGGAGACTGAGGCACGGGAGCCGCCGAGAACTCGCGGGGAAAGCTGAGCTACAAACGCAGCCTGACCTACCAAGCTGCTGGCGCCGTCTGAAACCGCGGCCTCGCTGTGGTTTCACCAGGATTTGGCGCTATGAAAACTTGTAACCTTTATTTTCCCAGTGCTTTTAAATACTCGGTCTTTCTAATAGCGGACAGGCTTCTGCCAGGGGATATTGTAAGCCAGGGGAAGTCTATTAAAAGCTCCATTTTCATATTCATTTCAGCGATCCGCGTTAGGAGCGCTATTTCCCCCCTCCCTTGTTTACGTCCCTGTTGAGGTTTTGTTTTTTGTTTTTTTTCTTTAAACAACGTTCACTTGACTTGCATCTGGGATTTTTTTGCACTTACGGGAGCCGGCGTGAGCGTGCCGGTGCCGCTTCCTGTCTGCGC